TAAAGTAGAACATACGTGTATTTTTAAAATGTGAATGTTAATAAGCTAAAACAATGCACATATGGAGGAGACTTTGTAGAAATTAAAAAGCAGTCTCATCTGCCTATTACAGACTGAAAGGATTTCAATATTGTTCTATATGCCTTCTCAGATCTTTAATACTTAAAACATATGACAGTAAGTATAGTAGAATTTTTTTTTTATTTAAAGTACAAGTAGCCAGTTCTTTATTCCATCATAATTTCTTTTTGTTTACACAAATAATACTGGGTGTTAGGACTGATGAGTGGTATTTGCTTATTCCATTTAAGTTTTCAAAAATATTTTCCTTATATGCATTCTTCTAAAGAGTAAGTCAGGCCTTATTCTATTTTACACTAAGTGAACTATTGGTCATTCCATTGACATTTAAAAGTTTGACATTTTTAGCCCATTAAAATTGTTATAATCAAGGAAATTTGCTTATAATTATATATTATATTGGGTTGTAAAATCCACTGGATGTAAGGAAATGCTCTTATCTGTAGAGGTGGCTTGCTTTTGGATCTCACTCAGCATTTAGAGCAGTGTCAAGTTCAGAGAAGAGGTTACGGATAATTTTGATTGATGAAGCTTGAAAGGTATAAAGAGTTATGGAGGACACATTATTGAAGTCATTTTAAACAATGGTCTATTATTTTGCAACTGATGTCACTACAAACAGTATATATTTGGTATCTAGTCTATACTTGATCGATATTGTACATACAGAAATATATTTTAACCTTTACAAAAAGATGATGAATTTTTATCATTATCTCTACTTGAAAAATGAAAAGTACATTCATACAGGTTAAATAACTTAAACAGAATCACAGAACTAGAAAATAATTGGCTGTCAAAGGATTTGAAACCACTTCTGCTTGACTTCAGATCTGTCTGTGCCATGTCACCTGTTCCAACTTGAGAACTCTGTGCCTTAACTGGGGTCATGTATTTGAAGAGTAGGATGATATGTTTTACATAATGGATGGTAGAATTGTTACTATCATTGTTTGTGCCATTGAAATGTGTGAGGTTTCCACATTATAATGTAATCAGCAAGTCAAGCAAACAAAACAAAATATTTATCCACTAGACATACATAGCAGAATTGACCGATGAAATAAATAGATGGCAAATGGTGGGGGCCATGTGAGATGTTACAAATAATTAGGCTGAAAAGACTAGACTGATCATGTGATAACTGATTAGAGTTGGTGACAGCAGCTTATAGTCATGTTTATCAGCAAGGAAGACATCTATCATTCAGATTTTGGGTTCTAATAACATTCGCTAATAAAAGAGATTAGTGCTTCTTGTGTAAGTAATAACTGATTGCAGAAATTGAATAAGCAAGATGAGTCTCCAACATTGGTCTTATAGTGTCAGAAAGTAAGAAGTTTACACAGAAAACACAGATAAACCAACCCATAATAATAGGTGAGCCTAAGGGGATATGACAAAATCTCTTATGGTAGATTGGATAGAATCCTGGGAGAAAAATAAGAGAGTAAGTAAAAGGTAAGAAAATATGCAGAAAGAATGAACTTTGCTTAATATTAATGCAGTCAATAATGGTTCATTAGTTGTGACAGATACCCTGCAGATGTACTGTACTACATTAAGACATCTCTCCTGGGGCGGCAGTAGATGAGAGCTGCACAGGAACTCTGTACTAGGGTCATTATCTTTCCGTACATCTAAAACTATTCTAAATTTAAAATTTAAAAATTCAAACCTACATGTTACTTCATAATGGAAACTGCAACTAGTGGAAAATTCAGTGTCTTGGGACCTACTTTGTGGCCTAGGGGTTAAGTTACAGTATTGTCACCTCTATTGCTTACATTTATTTCCTGGCCAGGGAGCTGATCCACATGGCACTGTAGACCTCTCCTGCTCCCTAGTGTATTTCAGTAAATCTGCTTGTTCTGCCTTCTACTCTGCCTCTGGAGAATCCCTCACCTCCTGCACCTCTGGCCTATACCCCAGTTCTTCTATGTAAAAATAAAAATTTATGTTTTGCTCATACAAGTACTTAGAGGTTGACATCAATATAGAAGCTGCACTACAAAGACAATTTGGAATATTTCTACATATCCAAAAGTGAAGTATGTTAGGTTATAAAATTTATTTTATTCTATTCACACTTGGTCTTGTTACAGAGAAAATTATTCTTGAACTATTCTGATCTTATAAGTGTTCTTACCATTTCTGAGCCCTGTAGAAATTCTCTATAGAAAACTGGGTTTGGGAAAAAAGAACATTTATTAAATCAAACAGTCTTTGTAAGCTACACAGTTTATGTTCAACTTTGATATATGTAAATACAAATATTATACTTCATGCTGGCTCTGTGTTGATATTATTTTGATAGTTTGACTTTGAAATGGATTGTTTTATTAAAGAGTTTAGCTTTAAAATAAAGCACAAATACCCCAACTAATAAATCCTAGCATATGCACCTATGATGAAACAAATTCAGGTTTGAATGATGCAGCATGATTAGATATATTTTCTTCACTCATGCATCCATTCAAGATTTTTTTTTTTAATCTTGTTATGCCAAGTTATTTTCTGATGCTGGAAATACTATCCAACAAAATTTTATAACTGCAAATTGTCGTGATTTTGAATTTTTTTTCCTGGAGCACACATGTTAAGTACAATTTATGAATAGAACTTTGGCAAACCATTTATTAGGTAATGATTATCTATTATAAATGTAATCAATAAAAAAGTGTATAATGTAGTAAAGTGATAAAGAATTTTGAGGACATTTACAGTGTATAAATCAACAAACATGTAGTGATGACAGGAAAGTAGTGCAATCCAACATTCAAGATAATTCATAGATGTTCACTACTGAACAAAATACATTAAAAGTCTACTGTCTTCTTATGTCAATATTCTACTTTACTAAGTTTATAATTTTGCTATAAACACTACAATGAACTAGGAGTCCATAGTTTACTTTTTTTTTTAATTTCCATGTCTTATAAATGCTTTATTCACTGTGCTGAATGCATTGCCAAAATAGTTCTATGAGAATTACCAAATACAATTTCTATAGAGGTAAACAAACTAATTTCAAAACTACAGTTTTAAAAATACTGCAATTTTGGTTTTATATGCATGCTTTATGTGCTCTGTTCTACATTGAAAATAATTTTATAGTTATGTCATAAACTTAAATGCATGATGATACCATCACTCACATTGTGTTTTTATTGTCTACCCCAAATTTCATCTATTTACTTGACATTTCATTTCCTGTTTCAAGTTTATAAATTATCTGCCATCAAAAATTTTGTGCATTATTATTTAAAATTTTTAATTAATATTATACATATTTATTTCACCCTTCCATTCCAGGTACTATTCTAGGTCTAAGGATTCTACTGAAAAAAATAAATGATATTTCTACACTCATAAAAATTATATTCAACTTGACAGAATAGAAAAACCATATAATTTGTAAATCAGCTAGTACAAACATAAAATCTATGGAGGAAAAATATAACACTGAAAAATCAGAGGGTGTGATGAAATGAGGGAGCTGTAAGTGAGAGTTGGTTACTTGAGTCATGGAGTAGTCAGGAAAGGTCTCCATGAAAAAACCAGCGGTAAGGATGTGAGTCCTGGAAGTTGAGGCAAAAATCACCCCAGGCTGATAGAATGTGGAATACAAGCCTTTTTTGATAAGAGTATGTCTGAAATGCTTAAGAAATGACAGCCAAAGCAGAGCCATTCAAGAACTATACCAATAGGGAAGGTCAGAGAAAATACAGCCAGCCAGGGCATTGATCTTTATAGTTAGACACATTTGTTTTACACCTGGGTGAATTGGGGAAGCACTTCCATCCTCTTCCTCCCTGAAATTTTCATATTTCTGTTGGACCCAACAAAACTTCTAAATTTTATGTTTGCTGTCTATTATTCAAGTGGTACCTCTGATTTTATTATATTTTGAGGGAAATAGAAATAAAAAATAAATGATAGATAGATGATAGACAGAGTCATTCATCTGACCAGTCTCTATGACTGATACATTTTCCATACACACACACACACACATTTGTGGTGTGTTATACATATCACTATATTATATACAAAGTATTGTATGTTTTTCCCATCTCTCTATATATAAACACACAAAATACACATTAATCTTTCATTAGTTTATGACAGTCTTCCTCAGTCTTTTATAAAAGCTAAAAATATATAAAGTTAATTATATCAGGAAAAATATCAGAAAATACATCTTTGTATTTCTACATGTTTCAACAAATTGATAAAAAAATATATGTTAAATGGCTACATTTTTGTGAATTTAGAATATCCAGACCTAGCTGAAATTGCATATGCATTTTTTTTTTCTGTTTTCACCACTAAGCACTTAGTAAACACTGACAGATAAAATATTTGGGTGCTACGGATGTAAAAGATGTTTTCTTTTATTTGGTGTCTTCAAAATATACCATATGTTATTATAATGACATATTTTAGAAAAACTATATATGAATTCAATAATTATCGGTCTCATATGATTTCAAAAACAATAAATGATAAAAAGCCTAAAGTGGAAATATGGTAATGTAAATGTAAATATATATATTAGCAGAAATGAGATATATTACACACAGCCCATACATTTTAGAAACAAAGAAGATAAATAAGAACATCAAAATATCAAATAAAGAATAATATAGTTCATTTTTGTTCCTATACTTCTTAAGAAAATGTATAACTATAATTATTGTATGAGAAAAAAATTCAGGATATTTAGTTGATTTATATTTTTAAAATGCTTGATCTGTAAAAGAATGTATAGAGCAAATAAAACTACTTCCATATTAAATGAAAATGTAATGTATTATAATATTCATTGCATTGTATTTCAAAATGCCAATATTCATATCCACAACTCTAATTTCAGGCCTTTGTGACTCATGTCTCCTATATGTACTGTTTTGCAGCCCCCTCTCCAGTCACCAATGTGAAAAAGGGGAAGATTTCAAAGAACAGCATCTCTCTGTCTTGGCAAGAGCCTGATCGCCCCAATGGAATCATCTTGGAGTATGAAATCAAATATTTTGAAAAGGTGAGGTTAACAGAATAAAAAATGTCCTCACTCTTTTTTTTTTTTTTCATTTTAGAAGTTGCAATTATCCAATTTATAAAAAAAACATTCTTCAATTGTATGCGTAAATCAATGACAATTGATTCTACAGTTGTGATTATGGAGCACTCTGCTCTGTTTTTCATTGCTGCCAGTTTAGGCTACCAGAATACCACTCTATCACCTAACATCAGCTTAACTTGCTTTTGCAGCATTAAAAGATGAAGTGATAGGATGTTTTGAAAATACCACACTTAAATTGCTCACCTTCAGTAGTGTTTATTCTTTAGTGCAAGAAAAAAAAAAAAACATACAGGCTTATCATCAGTAACCCTGCACAATACCTATGCTGTTTAGGAAGTATAGGCATGTTACTGTAAACATATATTTATTTTAAATTATAACAACAATTTAACAGTACCATAAACTTTTTTCTTTTTAATTTTAGGACACAAAATCAGAAACATGTCTCACATTCTTTATATTTTCTCTCCTTCCTGGAATGGACTCAAAGTTATTAAGAATTTTGTAATAATAATATTTGTTGAGGTCCACTTTACTCTTTCCTAAATCCACAAACAAATGAACTATTGATAAAGATATAAGCAGATGGAAAATGAAGATGAGCTTAAATTTCTAAAGATGGAATAGAGTATGTGGTTATATATATATATATATATATATTATATATATATATATGAATTTATATATAATATATATATATATATATAAATTTTATATATATATAAAATTGCCACAAGTCTTTACAGCTTGCATCCCCACTTACTATGATCTCTGTACAATCCTGGGTCTGAATGACAAACAACATTTAGAACAATTTAAGTTCTAACACAGTAGATATAGTTAGGTGCTCCAACTAGACCCAAAGGGGAGGTATTAGTGATTCTGACCCAAATGTGTTTATCTATGAAAGAGTAGAAATGATCTGCTTCTTTCCATAAGAAGAAAAGTGCTCATTCATACCTCTCAATTGATTCTTCCAAGCTCACAGAAGCCACAAGTTCTCTATTAGAGAAGAATAAAGACAGTGGGGGAAAGTTTACAACCTAAAAAAAGTTGTCCCAGCTAGGATACAGGTAAAGAAAGGGGAAAAAATGGTTTTCAGTGTACTAATGGAAAAATATTACAACAAATATGGGTAGCCTATTAATTAAAATTACTTAAAAATCCAGTATCATACATATATAGACAAAGAGCAATGGATAGATATATAGATAGCCATAGGAAAAAATATAGATATACATATAGATAAAAGAGGGTAAATAAACACTGAAAGAATTCATTACATGATGAAAATTAAAAATAATGTTGCTTCTTTCATTATTTGTAATTTCTCAATTACAATAACAGACAGTATGGGAGGGCATGGGTCTCTGCATATTCTCTCTTTTGGATGTCTTCAGTAGAGTATATAATATTAAAAGAGCTGAATAGGCCCTCCCTGGTGGCACAGCCTGTTAGGACACAGCACTGCAAGATAGCTGCAAGTTCAATCCCTGTCCTGGAGTTGATCCACATGGCACGGCAGACCTCTCCTGTCTTGCCCACTGCTCCCCTCAGCAGGGTACTTCATCAATGTGCCTATTCTGTTCCCCACTCTGTCTCTGGTGAATCTTGTCAGTGCCCCAGCACCTCTGGCTTGTACCCCAGTTCTGTATGCATAAATAATAAATAAATCTTTAAAAAATAAGGCAATGATCATTATATGTAAGGGGAAAAAAAGAGATGAATAAACAATCAATTACTGCTTTTGAAATATTTGTCTTTCTAGGTATGGCTAACTGATGGCATTATGTGTAATTATTGGATTACTAGGGAAGATAAAGATAAGGCATATGTCACAAAATTTAATTTCAAATGTGTTACATACCAAGAATGCTCTGAAGGAATACTTCTGAGTCAGGGGTATGGTGACAGATAATTTTCAGTATTTCCTTTTTTAAAAATGATAAATCATGTAAATTGTTGTTACGTTAATGCTCCTTACCATTTCCATATTTTGGGGGAGTAATAGTCTATACTGTCCTGTATATTCTTGAGGCCTATAATTTAAGCACATGCATATATTCAAAATAACTTTTAAGTTTTACATTTCTTATTCAGACTTTGATAGACCTAGTTATCTGATTACTACTGAAAAGCCAGAGAAGTAGTTGTACATCTATATATAAACATATATTAGATCATTTTATAAACATTATAAGTTTCTAAAGTTTTATGGGATTTTAGTTTATGTTAAAATAAATTCCAATGCATAATGACATTTGAAAATAACTAAACCAAAAAGCTATATTTTGAATACTTGAATTTTAGAGGAAATAAAGCATGTAAACTAAAAGTTTGACAAATATTTAATTCCCTGCAAGCTTTCCTTACCCTGCCTTTAAGGAAAAAATCTAATTTTGCTTTACATATAAAGCAAAATTTTATTGTTTATACTATTATTTACAACAAAATTGGTGGGTTTCATATGTGTGTATATATATACAATATTCAGTAGGTACAAGGATTTATCTTTTAGAGTTATGTTAAAGAGTTGATTATGATGATTATGTTCAGAGTTTCTGATGGGCAGGAATTATTTTCTGTTAGCATCTTCTAATATGTTTTTATTTTATACATCATCCAACTGCTTAGAATATATGCATTACGTTAAAATTTAGTTTTCTATTTAATGTCACATTAATAAATCATATTACATGTATAATATAAAATATGCTATTGGAAAATTATTTCTATACATAGCCTCAATAATGAGTAACAAGTTGCCCACTTACATGCTTTGAAAGGAGCAAAACTTTTATATATTAATTGGGGGAAGTTATTAACTCCCGTCAGTGTTTTCTTTCTGCATTGACTATATTAATTCACAGACTCTTTGCCAAGCAAAATTTTTGAACATATCAATGAAATACACACAGGTTTTTCTTAACACTTTAAGAAGTAAAAATGAAAGGACTAATGAGTTTTTATACCATGTATGAGGTGCGGGTCCTGCTAAGTTCCAGAGTTCATTTTGAACTTTCAGAAAGACACTACTATTTTATTGGATGGCTTTTGGCCAGACACAGGTGGTAAAGCTTTCCAGGCCCATGCATTTGCCAGCTGGCATTTCTGCCTGTGATTGCCCTGCTCTAATAGAGGTCATTGGGCCTCTCTGCTCCTGCATGGTGATGGGCCCATTGCCATCTCTTAATTAAAGGCAAAGGCAAAGGGAAGCTGCCCTTTGGCAGGGTGGCTGCCAGCTGGCTTCTTCTGCTGAGGCCCTCCCCTCACTGCATGTGAGCAGTGTTTGCTAAGCAGCTGGGGAATGTAGCTCATTTGCTCAGCAGGGGCATGAAAGCAGCAAAAGCTACTGCCCTAACCAAGGACTTGGCAGCCAGGTGGTTGTGGGTGTTAAGATGTGTATATAGTATTTGTGATCTGAAGGAAAATGCAATAAGAGTTATTGAAAATGATAGAAGCAAGGTTTGGAAGATACTTTGTTCATTCACAATGAATACTTATGAATTTTGACAACTAGGTATATGTTTTGCTTCAATATACAGTATTGAACTAACTCAGAAACACAATGTGCTATTAGATCTGCAATAAGGAATCACTGAGACATGCATAATGTTAATACAGAATGTTCTACTATTTTGCACAATTAGTATTACATTATGCATTATTTCAAGGAACAACATTCCTATATGCTGATAATTATTTTTTTCTCTTAGCAAAAATATCAATTTTTAATATTTTTGCAAAACATATTAGCTGTGACTTCAACCATATAAGCTTTATTATTTTTAATATTTTTTATTTTCTTATCGTACTATAGGATTATTCTACTGGTTATAGAAATTGTGCTAGAAATCATGTACAATATTTCTATGTCTAGCTTTATGTCCTCACAATTTTCTTAAGTGATTGCATTCCATTTTAAAGAAGAAAAAAACAGGTTGAGTTGTATATACATACTTATGTAGATAGTAACATGATTAGAAATCTAATGCTGATATTCCTATGTTCTTCTACAAAATAAAATTTATGTTGCAAAGGTTAGCAGTTTATATAAAGTCATAATTACTCAATTTTTCTGTGTGAATTTTTCACTGAACTTGTTTTTCCTGAAGATTTTTCCACATTCATTACATTTGTATAAATATTAAAGAATTAAAATTAGGTAACAGCTAGATAGTCCTTAAAAAAATAGCCTTTCCTTACAATAACTTGCCTAATGACTACAAACCATTTTCTAAACATTTCAGGTAATTTGCTCTTCATAAATAGAAATTTGTGTTGATTTCTATTTTGAAAGCAAAGGGAGATAACATACAGAATCACATATTTTAGTTTTTTCTAGATTTTTTCACTAACTTTAATTTCTTTAAACAAAAATAAAGTAATAGTGAACAAACATTTAATCATTTCTACTGAAAATCACTGCTCAGATAACTGCCAAATTATAAAGTATAATGTTATTAAGACAATCTTGAACATTGTGTTTTAAGGTTGAGCACTCTCATAATTTCACTATGATTGTTTAGAGAAGCTTTTTATTACTTTCACAAGCAGCCTATTAATAAATTACGGTTTTTAAATTTTTTTTTACATTTACTATTGTGTCCTTAGCATATAGAAATAGTAGTGGAATAGATAAAAGAAAATAAATATTTATGAATTAAAAAATTAACTGGAAAGTTGCATTAAGATTTAATTATCTACTTTATCTAAGTCTTTGCAAAACTAACAAAATTTCATAAACACTTTAATGATTAGGCACTTACATTACTCTGCGCATTAAAAGAAATGTATTCATATATCAATAGCTATTTGGGTTGCTTATATTTATATATTCACCCTTTATGCATTTATTGTCCTCTGTATTCAGTTATAATAAACTATATATTGTTGTTACAAGTTTTGCTTTGAACAAAATTCTAAACAAAATTAAGAATATTTATAATATTTTATATATATTCACATACTTATTACTTATGTTCTTCCTTTGTCCTGTAGATCTGGGTTTAATTCTAATGCCATTTCTCATACACAGAATTACATATTTTGATATTCAAGTTAGTCGACAATAAATACTTTCATTTTTTAATCTTAAAAATAATAAATATGAAAATTGGGCCCTCCCTGGTGACTCAGCATGTTAAGGCACAGCACGAAGAAGCTAAAGCCACTTCAGCATGAGTTCGATCCCCAGCCCTGGAGATGACCCATATGGCGCTGCAGACCTCTCCTGAACCACCACCTGCTCTCCTCAGCAGTGTACTTCCTCAGTCTGCCTGTTCTGTTCCCCACTCTGTCTCTGGTGAATTCCCTCAGCACTCCCGCACCTCTGACCTGCACCCCAGTGCTGTATGCATATAAATAAATATAAAAATATAGGAGTCAGTAATTTGCATATAATTGGTCGAAAAGCCTATCTAGATTAGAATATAGATCATATCTATTTGGTACGATATTTGGATATACTTAACCCCAAGATAATTTTATATATTTAAACATTGAGTATGTTATTTTTTTTTTAAAGAACATATGCAAGTTAAACATTTTAGGTTAATTGGATGTATGATATAAAAAGTAAGTCAAATTTGATGTGTCAAATTGGAAATAATTATGATGACTGAAAATACTATACTTAATAGTTTACTATTTTCACATATATTACCTGTTTCAGGCTACAATCTAGACTGTAATTTTACAAATACAAAAACTAACAGAAAATTTGAAAATGGATTTAATGCACTTTAACCACATGATTTTGATGTCTATACAATAAGGGCATTCTGTTATTGATTATAAACTTCAAGGGGGAAGGAAGGAGCATGGTTTGCATTTGTTTTGCTTTTTAATGTATGGTTTTGTGAAGATTAATAACTATATTACCCACTAAAGTGCTTGAGAAGTGAATATTTTGTTTCTTCTTATTTAGAAAAAAGGTTCTGTAGATGTTATCTCTATTTGCTTTTAAAGTATACATCAATATACATTTCTATTTATAAAGAGAAAATTACCTGAGATGTTTAGAAATAATGGTTTGTAGTCATTAACCAAATTTTCATAAGAAAAAAACTAATTCTTGAAAAGGGAGAATATGTAGACATTACCTAGGTTTAATTCTTTAATATTTACAGAAATGTAATAAAATGTGGAAAAATCTTCAGAGAAAAACGAATTCAGTGGAAAATTCATACAGAAAAATAAAGTGAGGACAAAGTTGAAAACAGGGACTGTGTATATTTTATGTACAACATAGAAACTTCAGCAATAATGAGGAGTATAGATGGTATCTAGAGGCTTTATTTAAGTCTCCAAAACTATACTTCCAGTGATTTTTTTTCCACTTCATCTCTATTCACTATTCACCTATCCCCAATACATTAAAGAAAAAAAATAGAAAGTCTTAAAAAGGAAAAAAAAATCCTGATTTACATTTTTCCTGAATATTCCCTTAATACTTAATATAGGACTTAATGAATTGAATCTAAATTAATTCATATTTAATTCATTGAAATTAAAATTCTCCAGTGAAGTAGACTTTTTCTCCCAAGCTTTAACTATAATTAGAAATAAAATTTAGTAAAGATGCAAAGCATAAGTGTTTTCTGGCAGTGTGAGATATTACTACCTTTTTCTGTGAACGTACAGCATGTTAGATGTATTCCAAAAAACATTTCTAAGAAGATAAATAATACTAAAGTATATTAAATGAAATGATTTTTCTCCTTTAAGTTACAGTTTAAAACACTGTATAATTTCTGACAAAGGTAAAGGTGGTAGGTGGTGAGAAGATAAGGCAGCCGCCAACTTTGAGTTCTAGAAGATATTTTAAGGTGCTACATAAATAAACGCGTAGAGTGTGTGGGTTTGTTTCCTAAAACCACCTGTACTGATAGCAAGTGTGTAATTGCCGATTCATATTTTGATCGATGATTTTAAGGTTTGATTTTATTATTAAATAGTATTTTATTAATTTTTTGTATGTTCATTTGTAATACAAGGACCAAGAGACCAGCTATACAATTATCAAATCGAAAGAGACAACTATAACTGCAGAGGGCTTGAAGCCAGCGTCGGTGTATGTCTTCCAAATTCGAGCACGCACAGCAGCAGGCTATGGTGTCTTCAGTCGAAGATTTGAGTTTGAAACCACCCCAGTGTGTAAGTCATTTTAATTACTGTCAACTCATGTCTCTGTAATGGTTACCAGGAAAAGAGTCAGTGGATCAATACTCTCCTTGGGCATTCTGTCAGTCTCCTGCTCCTCCTCTCCAAGGCATGACCTCTTCAGGTAGGAAGCATCTGTCAGCTATTATGGTAGGTTAGTGGGTTAATACGTCGGTCCCAGCTCCTCATCACATTTAGTCTATTGGGAGATGAAACATCAGGAGACCCTTAAGAAATGTTTAAACCTTGATTTTAAAGACTTTCTTGCTTCTGCTGCCATACTTTATTGAATTATTGCCATTTACTTTTTGCTTGTTTTATTGAACTATGCTACCACACTTAGTCTTTCTATGAAAACTCCACAGGGAATTTTCATTAGTATTGTGTTTGGCAAGCAAATGGTGCACTAAGGAACCAAGCTGACTTTTAAAAATAAATCTCTGGCAGTATATCTGGGTGGAGAACCTAGGAAATAATAGTGGAAAATCTTGTACCTTTTTAATAAATTTTTCTTTAATAAAATATAAAATCCATTCTTTGTTAGTGACAAACAAAATAGTTAAATTAGCATCCTAAAGCAAACACTTTAAAAGTAGGATTATAAGAAGACAGTAACTAATTCTATTTATAGATCAAAGAAGTGACACTGTTAAAATTTGTTTATGAAAGAAATAACACATAAGGGTAATATGAAATGTGTGTGATATAAATTCGGATATGAAAGGCCTAGAGATTTAAAAATTAAAAAAATAAAATGTTTAATTTGTCATTATGGAAGTCAACAAAATGACAGTTTAGCTATCAATTTTATGCTATAAAGATTAGAATTATTAAACTAAAATTTCTATAAGCTTATAAATTTCAGTTCTTTAGAAAAGCAAGATACATTTCTGTATCCAAATTGTTTAACCAAATTGCAAATTATTGCAATGCCTGTCTTGACTTCTCTTTTATTCCTGATCCTATTTGAATGTTCCCCTTTTTTCTTTCTGGAAGTAGCTGGAGTTTATTTTTTCAAAGAACCAGGTTGTGATTTCATTAATATGTTAGACTTTGTTTAATTTGTATTTTTTTCTATTTATGCTCTAATTATTTCCTCTATTCTACTGCTTTGTAGTTTTATTTGTTCACATTTTTCTAACTCATTGGGGTGATAGATGAGGTTATTTATCTGAGCTCTTTCTTGTTTCTTACTGTGGGACTACATTGCTACACTAACTTCTTCTTAGTATTGCTTTTGCTGTGTTTCAGCAGTTATGGAAGATTGTGTCCTCCTTGGCATTTTCTTGAGGTATTTCTGGATTACTCTTTTGATTTTCTCATTAACCTAATAATCATTGAGTAGCGAATTGTTCAATCTCCATCTATGGAGGACTCCTGCTTTCCTTTTGTGGTTGATTTATGTTTGATACCTTTATGGTCATATGGTTTCAATATTCATGAGTTTGTTAAAACTTGTCTTGTGTGGTCAATCTGGAGAATGTCCTATGTGTTCTTGAGAATCATGTTTCTTCAGTTTTTTGAGGGTGTGATGCCCTTGAGTTTTCTGACTGGTTGATCTGTCCATTGATGTTAGTAGGGGTTTTAAGTCACACACGATGAATGCATTTTTCCTAATGTCTATTGAAGGTGTGGAAGTTCCTGTGTTTGCAAACTGTCTCAGCTTTTTCTAGATGGTCTTTATTTTTTTTATTTTTTTTTTAAAGATTTATTTATTTGTGCATACAGAACTGGGGTACAGGCCAGAGGCTCAGGGGCGGTGAGAAGCTTCACCAGAGACAGAGAGGGGAGCAGAACAGGCAGATGGATGAAGTACACTGCTGAGGGGAGCAGCGGGCGGGCCAGGAGAGGTCTGCCACGCCATGTGGTCACCTCCGAGGCAGGCGGGAATCGAACTCATGCAGAAGTAGCTTTAGATTCTCAGTGCTGTGCTTTAACCCGCTGCGCCACCAGGGAGGGCCATGGTCTTTATTTTTAATCTTATAGACTACCCTGTAGGATGCATTATTATTGACTGACAGTCATTCTCTTCAGAGAACTCCAATGTTAGTCATATTGGAGTTTCCTTACCATTTATCTTCTTCTTTCAGCCAGCAATGATATTCCTTCTTAGTTTTGAACTCTTGGAAGTTTCATTTGTATGTGTCTTTCTATAGGTCATTATTAGGTACCCTGGTGTTTCTTTTAGTGTCATGGATTTGTGGTGTTAATTCTTTATCCAGACTTGGAATGTTTTCTTCTTTTAGTTCTTTAAATAAATTATCTCTCCTCTGTCCCACCCCCCACCCCATTTTTTTTTCTCTCTGTGGGGTATGTATTATATTGTTCTTCCTTATGGAATTTGGTAATTCTCAAAGTGTGTCTTAATTTATTTTCTTCACATCTTTCTTTGTGCATTATCATCCTGAAAGTACTGATTTGATTTTCCATTTAATTTATATGCTTTCTCAGCCTTTCTCAGATTTCTTAAATGACAACTATTTGTCCTTTTACATTCTGAAAATCCATTATTTTGGTTTAAATCTTTAATTTGTTTTCTGCTTACTAATTTTACTTCTCAGAACATTCATTTGTTTTCCTGAGTTTTCTTTTTTTATCGTGATCAGCTCTTCTGATCTTCTCCCATTTCTTTAAACTTCCTTATCATGGAAATTTTGAACTGTATTTGATAAGAAGAACAGGTTTTCCATACTTAAAGATTTAGGTTCCGGTGATTTGTTCTTTCTCTGTGGTATAGTAGTTCCCTAAGAAACCATACTACTATTTGGTGTGTGTGTGTGTGTTTTCAGGCTCCCTACTATTTGTTTCAGAGTTCGGCACTGTTGCTGGTGGTCATTTGTAATTGTGTATGTGTGTATGCATTTCTATACAGATGTTATTTTGTAGGATTTTGTATCTACCATCCTAGTCAAAATACAAAATCTTACCAACATCCTGGATTCTTTGTGTTGCTCTCTTATAAAAACACCTACTGTCTTCAGTAGCAACTCCTGTGCCAAAACTAATCACTGGCTAATTTAGAAACACCCATTTCCAAAATTTTAACATTTCAAAAATATTTTATATATGGAATCATATAGTATGCAAAATTTTAGTTTGAAACAGTTATTTTATACTCAGCATAATTCCCTGAAGACTCATCCAAGTTGTGTAGAACAAAGTTATTTTAATTTTTAGGGAAAACTGCATGGTTTGCATTTACCACAGTTTATATAACCATTCACCTATTGATGAACATCTGCACTGAGTCAAGCTTTCACTATTATAGAGAGAGATGCTATGAATATTTATGTATATTTTAACCTATTTTTTAATTTCCTGAGATTTATGTCCAATATTACAGTTGCTGTATCATACAGTGATTGCCTATAATTTTTTATTTGGTAAACACAAACAGTGTTGGAGCCATAAGTGAAAACTTGATTTTTATATGGGATCTTGAGTTACCCAGGATCATGTAAATACATGAGATTGGGACCCTACCTGGTGGCACGACAGATTAAAGCACAGCACTATGAAACTATTCACAACCACTACAGCACAAGTTCAATGCCCAGCCAGGCTGCTGACCCACATGGTGGGCGAGACCTCTGCTGATTCTGTCTGCTGATGCCCTTAGCATTGTATTTCAGTAGATCTGCATGTTCTGCTCTCCACTCTTGTCTCTGGTGAAACCACTCACCTCCCTCCCATCCTACACCCCTAGCGTGTACATTAGTGCTTGTATACATAAATAAATATATCTTAAATTGTTGTAAAATTTTAAAAGTATTCCCCAAATCACTTCTTTCAAACATACATAATGTGTAATAAAATTGGAAATGAGGTACTAGAAGTTTACATCTTTAAAGATTACAGTTTAACGACATATTAACAGGATATGCATTTTAGACCCTCCCTGGTGGCTCAACCTGTTAGGATGCAGCACTGCAAGCTAGCCACAGCCACTTCAGTGTGCGTCGATCCTAGACCCCGGAGGTGATCCATGAGGCAGTGTACTTCATTGATCTAGGCAGATCCTATTCTCCACTCTGTCTCTGGTGTATCCTCTCACCACCTCTGCACCTCTGGCTTGTACCCCAGTTCTGTATGCATAAATAAATAAATCTTTAAAAAAATAAATGTTTTTCAGCTTGGCTGATATGAATGGGGATATTATTGATACTGGTTTGGGAATCAAAGGAATAAATACTACAAAATTTCACTTTTCATTACAAAGAAATTGTGAAATAATCAGTACTTTAAACCCAACAGGAATTTTAAAATATACATGAAAATATGTTTTTAAAGTTTTCTTTTTAGATCCCTTGATTTAAGTATTTATTCTTTGAGTATTTATAGTAATGCATTTAGTATTTGAGTATGTATAGCAATACACTTGGTAATAATTTTTTCCTAAAATTATTACTTTGATTAACATAAATTTGAGGGTTTTACCCCTAATTCTGATTAATCATACCCTTTTCATCTAAATCCAAATGTTCCCAAAGTGGCATATTGAAACCAAAAAGATTCAGATTACAAATATTTTTTAATAAAACCTAGAGAATTCAGAATTTTTTCTTGATAGGTTGTAAACATCTGCTAGCATTTTGGTCTAAGAAACAAGATCAATGTTTTTATTTTTATTATCTATTTCATAGAGGCTTTGACCAATACCCTAGCAAATTTGAATCAAATAAGTGAATGTATAAAAGAAAAACAAAAAATATTTGGCAATTAATGGCTATTAGGGGGTTAAAAGTCAGTGATAGTTCAAGAAACCAGAAAGAGATCATTAAAATTAATCTGGTTTGATGGTTGTATTTATGGAGTATTTATTTATTGATGTGATTTTGTAATTCCTAAGGGTAAATGTGGTTTAAGGGATGATTTTTATGTTTATTTTATGTAAAAACAAAATCTTATTAAAGGACACTTTTTTTAATAAAATGATGTTTTGCAGAAAAACAAAGTTTGAATATATAAATTTAGAACTCTTCAACTTATAATTAACTGACGCCACAAGCAAAGATATATCTGTGCAAAGGAGGGAAAAAGGAAGTAGGAAGAAAAAAAGACAGAAAGAATAAGAGGAGAAGAGTGTTCATCAGTAACTGCTTATACACATGATATAGGAAGAGAAAGTGGATCTAGAAGAACTGACCAAGGCAGTGCTTTACCCTGGAGAAAGGAGAAAGCAGCTCATTTTATTTCATAGAAACCAAGAAGAGGAGTTTTAAGAATGAAGTATATGTTCACCAAAGTTAAATATTTTATTATGGAAAGTAGTAAGGCACATGGAGAAATATACATTGAAATTAACAAATATGTTATTCTTGGAGTTCAAAAATGGAGGGAAGTAAAATTTCAGATATAATTTCATAAGGTAGATTCTCAGAAGATGAGGCAAGTTTTGAGAATTTCAGCCAAGATACTCAAATGTCTGAAAGAATGATAAATGGAGGACAAAATAGGTAGACATATTATCTGCTCTTTACTTAAAGCTGGCAGGTTGGAATGCTATGCTAATTGTTTTTTATGTATTATTTCTAAACATGAATGTAATAATCCAGGGAAATTATCTCTATTTGCAGATTATTGAAATGAGACTTTACAGAGTTAAATAATATGCCTTGACACCTTGTCTAGTAAATCTTGGGCATGGTCCTACAGTCAATTTAGACTAAAATCAGAAAGTTTATGTTTAAGGATTTGTTTTCTCCAAGAAGATAGATTCATTCAAGTTTGTCACTAACAAAATTAGCTTGTAAGAGAATGGAAATTTCTCCTGAAGGAAGTACTTTAAAGTACAAAAGTTTTGAAAGAAACAGGAAGCACCCTAACAGTAGATTTAGATTTAGTAAAGGAAAGTTATGCAGTTACATTTGACCATGGAGTTCAGATTTCATCAATTTTTATTTATAAACTTTAGCATTTCTAAATGTTAGAAGTGGGGATGGTTTAGTTGTACTGAAGGAATGAGGAGACTCATTATGGTGCTCATTTTGCTAGGAAATTAATGAAGGAATCAAAAGCACTGGGAGCAGCTGGAACCCAATCAAAATATCATTGGCCACCTATGACCAAATCTACAGGATTTGTTTCAGAAACAGTGTCCCTGTCAAGATGAAAAAAAGAGCCAAGAAAAAGGCAATGGTGAAAGTATTGTAGTCCTAGTTTAGAGAGTAATAAAGCAACTTTTAGGAAGAATACTTATGGTAATGAGGTAGCTTTGTTCTACCTCATTTATAATGAACTCTAGTATTAAACAACTTGCATAGTTTCAAAGTCAGAGAACAGAATAAAAAAGGGGAAAGAGAAATTGAAGTGCAACCATTATCATCTAAGAAAAGGTTGGATAAAAACATTGATTTAAATTGTCAATAATTTTTCTCATACATGAACAAACTGTTGATAGTGGGCTCTGGATACTAATCTGAAAGTGCTGAAAATGTAGATCAGTGCAAGAAGATGGATAAAGGGTCAGTGAATTAGGTTAGAGAACATCAAGACAGAAGTGATGAGAATAGAGAGAAAAGTGTTTGGATGTCAGAAAGTGCTGATGGAACCAAGATCGGGTATGAAGTTGTAACTAGTGAAATATACAAAGTAAGCATATTAGTTTTGATGACTTAAAATTTGACATTGTACATTATTGTCAATATCCAGAATTTATTTTGTGAATATAAAGTAACTAAACCACAAGTCAGGTAAAGAGGGAAGAACGCACAATAGACTATGGTGGTGGATTATGGGCGATTTGGTGGCGGGTATGTTACAGGGAACCCCGATGTGAATTGGGTTGCTTGTCTGTGGGTCCTCAACACACGTGCTTAAGACTCAATCATATTATGGACACACACAAAAAGGTTCGAGTTAACTAGAATATCCTACCAGTTCTGCTGACGTGGACTCCAATAACACACTGAAAACTGATCAAGAGCCAAAACGATCAGCCACGAACCACCAGGCCAAGAGAGGCTGGAAGCCCACATGTTCGGTTTTATCCTAATCTGGCTGCTCAGCCCCGCCCTCACGTCCCAGCATGCTTCTCATTGATTTTGATGGGATTTGTAGTTCCAGTATCTGGAGTGGGGGTAGAGTCCCTGAAACCTGTATCTGTTACAGACATATGATGGTGGTAATATCTGATTCAGGTATCCAAATACTACTTCAATTAAAAATAAATACATCTGTTAATTAAAAATATAAAAAAAACATGAAAGTATGCCCTTATATTTAGCTCTTTTTAAGAAGTTTCTCATTAGTAGAGAAATGTTCCTGTTAAGTAATCATTTTTAATTAAAAAAAAGTTAACACAGAAATGAATGAATAAATGAGTGAATTTATCACATTATGTCTCTTGAGGATTTCTTGAAAATATTAGTAAAATACACTTTGCTGTATAGGATTCTTACTTTAATCAGAAGTAGTTACAAACAGGAAAGAAAAATGTCCTTGCTTATTTGGGTACAGCTCTTTAATCATATCCATATTCTTTTAATCATGATAGTTACATTATTAAAATATAAAATATCTCCTCTGTAACCCTGATTTACAAAACAGATGGCATAATGATCTAATCTGTCTGAAGAATTCTGTTTTAAATATATTGATTTTTTTTAAAAAAGTAATCCTACTTACCTATTATATTCTATTTGAAATGCTTTTCTTATTGTATAATTTCAGAATGTCATTATATTAAACACTACTGGGTCATAGCCACACATTTTGAATTTCAGCCTATATCTATGGGATAAATCCTATCTGAGTTAATAAGTTTTTTTTTTTTTCCTAGAGAAACTAAAGAACAGCCACATGCAAACTCTAAAATGTCAAGTGTCATATACTTAGCACTTCCTATTAATATTAAGGTATTTGAAATCAGTAACTAAGTTCCATTTTATCTCACAAACCTAAGATCTCTAGATGAATACTATGCAAACAATTACATTCATTTTTTATGATGACAAGGAAATAATCAGAGACTTAGTGATTCTTTTGAATTTCCATTTGAAGAGTAAATGTTTTCTCCTAACGATGTCTTTTCAATTACACACTTTTGAAAAGAGATATTAGGAGGAAACCTCAGCTCAGAATGGATGAATTGCTTAAACCATGCGTTGATTACAGATTATTAAACACCGCTTATTTGAATGCATATGATCACTTTAACCACAGACTCCATTTTCTGTGTCTCCTATCAGCAGTTGCAGCATCCAGCGATCAAAGCCAGATTCCTATAATTGCTGTGTCTGTGACAGTGGGAGTCATTTTGTTGGCAGTGGTTATCGGCTTCCTCCTCAGTGGAAGGTAAGAGAGGAAGCTGTGATTCTGAACTTTTGCAGCTGAGTTCTTCCTTACCTTGATCTGACCGTTTGACTGTTAAGCACATCCCAACAAATCAGGCAAACAATATATCAGTAGATAACCTCAAAGCATGATATAATTCTTAAACCTTCTTTTCTTTTTCTATTATAGTGTGAACTTATTTTAAGTACAAGTTTTCTATTTTTCCAGTTGTGCTATTTATAGAATAATATTAATTTGCTGCTGTTTCTTCTGTCATTAATATAGCAATATCTTCCTTGGACAAAATTTTTTCCTTCAAAATGGATTTTTGAAATTTTTTTATGGTTACGTTTCAGGTGTAATGTTTGGAAAGTCTCTGTCTTGGCTCAGTAAATTTTAGAAGAATAATACTAATAATTATAGTTAACCAACATTCTGTCTCTACAGGGTAATAAATATAAACAAGATACTATAATGCACAAGCATTTTGGGAAATAACTATCCTATATTAATAACAGCTTTTTTTTTTAAAGTTCTGAATGATTTCAAGATGAATATGCCAATCATTGTAAATACTAATATGCAGTGAATTTATTGAATACTCTATCAATAAATGCACCATATTTATATTTTTCATTTTAAATAAAAGTAGAGCCCTAACAAAAGCTTTTGTAAAAGGTATTTCCTGACACTGAACTGAGTACAAGCAAGGTTCCTTAAAAATAAGCAAAATTTTTAAATAATATTCTCTTTTAAGTATGTTATTTTCCTACAAGAAAATTTTTCATATTCTATCCAGACTATTGTTGGGCCATTTATAATGAGTAATGCGAGCCATCTCTTTAAAAGTTAAGTGTTGAACTACTATGTAAAATTTGATGAAAGTCCTTATGGAAACATTTAAACTTGCACAAATATGAAAATGTATTGGAATGTCCAAAAAAGTCAGGAAATCAATGTTCATACTGATTTTTGTTACTGTTTTACTTACGACTTGACTCTTCAGCATCTATTTAACAGAATTAGGCACTTTCCAATATACAGCACATTGTATTCTGAAGCTTATCAGTGGGCTTGTTGATTAGATTGAAACCCTGCCTCAGATCTAGGGCCTGATCTCAATTACAATACTGAGTCATTAAGTAGATGAGAAGTGCCTGGAGTGCAGACTCACAGCCCCTGATACTATAGATGATGGAGCACATTTTCTAGTTTCACTCCTCCCCTTTCTTTTTGTTCTCCACTGATGCTGTTTGATTATTCTGTCAGTAAAAGGTCAGGATCTTGCTCTTTGGCAGCATCCTGTGGGTCCTATAGCTTGTCCCATGGCTTCCGTTTGTCAGTGCGCTGTTGTCAATGAAATACAGAAGTTGGAGCCTCACTGGGTCCTCTGTTTCAAGTCATTTGAAGAGAATGGCCTGTTTTCTGGGCCATAAGCTGCCACTCATTTCAGAAGAACTCTGTTCAGATTTCAATCAGATTAAATAACTAAGTTGAGTTCATATAATTACCAACAAAACCGTCTTTCTATAATATATCTTTCCTACCAAACAGGTGGATAATTATGATACATTTGCAGAACTGGTTTGTAATCTCATTCCTTTTCTTATGATGGAGATATGTGGTAGCTTTGTCCTTTCTGATAATTCCAATAAACATTTGTTTTATTTAGAGACAAGGAGATCTTTAGAATATAATATTTTGCTGATTCCACACATAGGAGTAATGAATAAAAATGGTTTAAGAATTAAGGACTACAATACAACAAATTTATGTGTTTAAGGGTTCCTAAAGGAAATATTTTATTGTACACTGGGCACAGTGTATTTATTTAACCTATGTATTCTTATTGTTAATTTACTGGTGACATTCAGCTATTCATTCTTGCTTATGTATATGATTCATATACATGTATATGAATCAGCACTTGTCTCAAGAACATCTATTCCAATACATACATAAAATTATTTGAAAATGATGCACATCTGAATTATTAGACGAAATATTTGAGAGAAGGGTCAGTTTACCTATTAATTAGTGACAGCAGGAAAATATAGCCTTAACATACATACATATATATATGTGTGTGTGTGTATGTTTATTAATTTAATTTATTAACATCTCAGTATGTAGCAGTTTAAAGGAAAACAATTTTAACAAAAAGAAATCTTAAATTCGTATTTTTTAGCAAATATATTGTATGAAATACCTCTTCATCCCATTGAATACTCACTCTTGAATTTAAAGTTATTTGTTATGTGATCAAAAGATCTTTGGACTTTATATTTTAAATTTATAGGCAAGTATTTTACACTAATATATATATAAATACACTGATTCAAAACCTTAAATGATATGATTCTTGAAGGGCATTTCCTATCTCATTGAAGGCCATAAACTTCTTAACTTTTGTCTAGACAAATAAAATCTTATACACATCGTCATATCTAAAGCATTCTGAATTAATTCAGTAAAGATTTGTCAAATAAGAGAAAAATTGGGAAACTATATATGCTAAAAAAATTGGAAAAAGCTCATTCTAGGCATGATTTAAAGGCATTGAATTATATATGTTTCTCTGCCCTGTCTGTGGTAAACTATAATAAACACATACAAAAACATTTAGACAACCCTCTCATTTTGAACTAAATTCCTTTATCACTTTTTACTAAAGATTTTTTTCCTATGTCAAATGAATTTTAGTCATAAATAATCTGAGTGGTGATACAATCATTTAATTTTGATACTTTGAAAAATTTAATACCACATATGCATTTTTATTGAGAATTTATATTATTACTTGGACATAAGAGAAGCTATATGGGGAAAAACATATTCACTGACAATTTGTATTCTTATTAAGATGAAAGCTGAAAGATGTAATATGCTAAATACAATGGGTTTGTCCAAAAAATGACCATTTTTTGTATTATTCTAAAATACATGGAGATAAAAATTAAATCAACTACAGAGACTTTCTTCTCTTTTTAGGCTAAAAGGAATATGCAGAAATTTTTTTGAAGTCTTTCTACAGTCTAAAATATCAGACAAATAATGATTTTGAAGAAAAAAGTCTCAAATAAAAATGGCAAATAATTATAGCATTTTATGTTTCTATCCATTTTAGAATTTGTGTGCTTTATATGTTTAAAGGTGTTAGAGTGTCCTTAAATTATTTTCTGCAGGATTTAGCCTCTCTTTTTTCACTTTCCCATATTAATTTTAAATAATTTCTTTCATAATAGCATGAAATAATTAACATACCTCCTCAGAAAGCTATTGTCACCTGGAATGTATATAAGTGAAGTCTCCTAATATATGCCTCATGTTGTAATGCTTTTAAATTTTTCTCTTTTATCATTAATGACATTGCATGTTGATAACTTCTTATTATATTCTAATTTTATGTTTGTTCTCATTTATACTCTCTGATAAACAGAAATCGTTTAGTCATCTTTTTACCATTGGAAATGGCATCTCCATACTTTTCAATTACATGTCTAGGTTTAATGTGTCTTTCTCTTAAAGTTAAATACTGATAGCACTAAGTTGACTTTTCCACAGTGTCTCCATTTCAAACCAGAATGAGACCTAATTCTGAAAATTGATTTCTGCATATTTTTTAATCCAGTAAAAAGCTTAAATTAATAGAATTTAATGATATAGAAAATACAAAGGAAAATATCTTTCAGTGTACAGAAATTAGTTTGTACCTTTCCAATACAAACATCCTGATATTACAGATTATTTCAATCTGAACCCTCCTTGCTACATGAATTTCAGTTTTAAGAAAATTTTAGAGCTTTGTTTTTTCAATCAATTCCACATATATACTCAAAGGAAAAGTATATATTCTGCACATGCACTGCCACATGTAATCGCACATGTTCTTGCATATAAACATACAGAAATAAAGTTTTTGTCCATTTTTATTTTGGAAAGCAAAACCAAACTACAGTCACTCCCGAAGAGGTAGAAGGATTCCCTCAAGCTGCTTCATCATAGATATAATTTTTAGGCTATTTATACATACTATTAATGTGATAATGTTTCTGGAGTGATAAACTTGGTCTGAGTTCCCTAAGGTGAAAACTTCTTAGGAGTATGCAAAATATACATACTATACTTTAACATAACATATCAAAATTAAGAGACCATGCCAAAGCTCTAGAACAACAAAAAAAAAAAAGAGAGAGAGAGAGAAAGAGAGAGACTTACTGAAAACATAGCTTTAGGTTTTCTTGTTAATTGTAATAATTATTAAAATTTAGCCTTTTGTGTATTTTTCTAAGTCTCTTAAATTATAGCACTTTGTAAACAGCATATTCTCTCTAATCATGCATTATAGATAATCTGAATACCTTTTGTACTTAAACATCAAAGTAAGTCCAGAACATGTGAATTAAAAAAAATTTAGTGTTCTTTTCTAAGTTTCCAACTTTAGTTTAGTAGTTCTATAAATTAATGAATCTCATAAACAATTATAAAAATAAGAGATAAAGAGAATTTAAATTGAAACCATTCCTTTTTTTGGTGCCTCTCACCCCTTTGGACCAAAATGATGGTTTGATTCAATAACTTGAGAAATACTTTGGTTATTGCATGTTTGCCACATTTTTATGTTAGAAAAACATGGTAGAATCTGCTGGACTTAGAAACTTCTCTTCAAGTTCTTTCAAAGCCAAATTTTATAATTAATGTAGACATTTTGGGTGCAACTATTTAATTTAGACAAGTACCAGACCTCTGCCTACATTTAATGTCAAAACGTAATATATTCTTAAATGAATACTTTCTAAAGTTTACAGAGTATTGTAAAACCTTAAGAGAAGTCTCTTTACCTAATAGAAGTGACACAACTATAATATTGATATTATCATAATAGTGTCTAGCTATTTACTTTCTTAATACCTATTACCAGGCACTGTTCCAAGGGCTGTGCATGCAATATCTCATACTACTATGTCACAGTTTTAGTTCTAGCTCCAGTTTATGCTTGACAAATTTCTTATTATTTCTTA